TTCCCTACAGCCTTGGAATTTATTCATCATTGTAGAGTTGTAAAATTCTGTGTTCTGTCAAAATGGCTGTTAAAAATATTTTTTCTAAATTAGAATGAAATGTTGGTTACAAAGGCTGTAGTAGAACTTGTTCTCCGACCTGTAAATAGTAACAATCATTTGGTAAAAGCAGCAAAATTAGCCATTCATAGTAGATAGGTAACTCAAATAAACGTATCCTTATTTCTTCCCATATTTTGTCAGGTGGATGACAATATTCCACTTAGGGTAATGCTGCTTCTCATGGATGAAGTATTCGACTTAAAAGAGAGAAATCAGTGGTTGCGAAGGAATATCAAAAACCTACTTCAGCAGCTTATTAGAGCCACATATGGTGATACTATTAATAGGTACCACTTTTTTTTCTTAAACTACTTAGAGCTGATCTTACTTAGCTTTTGAAGTTTTACTTCTGGAAGTAGATTGCTCAACCTTTTGTAGGTGAATTTCCTTCTCTGGGTCTTTGAAGATCGTTAAAGCAGACTATTGCTCTGAGATAATCTTCATACAAATTAAGTTGCTTATTTCATGAAAGTAATGTTTCTTTATTTTATTCACCTTCTAAAATCTTGACCTTACTCATTTGAATTTCCTTACTTTCAGAAAAATAGTTGACCATGTTGACTGGATGACCTCACCTGAGCAAGTAGCCGACTTAGTGAAACGTTTCAGGTATGTCTTAAGACACAGTCACTTCTTTCAGATAGTACAGAGTTGAGCATTGTTATCACTAACTTTCATTGCATTCCTTCTCTTCCTGGCCTTAAAGTTGGTTTTAGTCATCACTGATGAGCAAAAAGACTTGCAAGAATTATAAACATTTGTCCCATGGACCTATTCATCTTTGTTTTTTTAAAACCAGAATAGAAAAAAGTATAAATGAAAAATCTTTAAGATGTTAGGCTACATTTTATCATAGTAATGTGGCTTTAAAATAATTGAAATATTAATGTAGACATGGCATGGTCATATAATCAGGTTACCTAGTTTCCAGGATTAATTTTTCTCAGTTGTATTTGCTAACCTTGATTTGATTGATGATTGATTGGCTGGCTGGCTGGCAGCATGGGGTCTTCATTGCTGCATGCTGGCTTTCTCTAGTTGCCGCGAGCGGGGACTACTCTTCGTTGTGGTGCGTAGGCTTCTCATTGCAGTGGCTTCTCTTGTTACGGAGCATGGGCTCTAGGTGGGCGGGCTTCAATAGTTGCAGCACGTGGGCTCAGTAGTTGTGGCACGTGGGCTCAGTAGTTGCGGCACATGGGCTTAGTTGCTCCGTGGCATGTGGGATCTTCCCAGACCAGGGATCAAACCCATATCCCCTGCGTTGGCAGGCGGATTCTTAACCACTGCACCACCAGGGAAGTCCCTGCTAACCTTGATTTTAAATGAAGAAATTTAGAAATATGTATGTCCATGGTCTAAATTTTTATTAACTATTTGAACCTCTGAAAAGGTTCAGATTAAGAGTAGTGATACTCCAATTCATATGTTCATTCTACAAAAATATTCTGAACCCCTTCTCTGTGTCTAGCCCTCTTACCAGGAACTGAGAGGTAAGGTTCAGTCCCTTCAAGGAAAGCATGCCATGGCAGACAAATAAACGACTTTTCTAAAAGCGAGAGATAAGCAAGGCGTAAACATTCACAGCATCACGTACTTTGAAGTAACAGAAAGAAGGGAACTGTGAACACTGTTTACTTGGCACTGTCCAACTACTTTATGTATACTTTCTGATTTTATCCTATTTTATGAGATAGGGATTTTTCTCTCCGTTTTGTTACAAGGAAATTGAGGGTTTGAGAAGTTAAGCAGCTTGCCCAAAGCCTCATGTGCTGGACAGTGGCGAAACAGGTCTCTCTAATCTGAAGCTAAGTTTCTCCTCACAATACCATACTGTTTCTAAAAGCTGTACCACCTGCCCTGGCACCTTCATTCTGTTTCAGGGTGGGTAAATATTGTTCTTCTGGAGCACTGATTCTCAACCTTGCCTGCACACTGGAATCACTTGGAGAGCTTTAAAAAGTACTAATGCTTAGGTCCCATCTGCAAACAGTCTGATTTAGTTAATCTGGTGATGGCCCTGGTCCTTAAGCTCTTTTAAAGCTCCCAGGTGTTTTCTAATGTGCAGTCAGAGTTAAGAAGGACTACTCTGGGCAGTCTCTTTCTCTCAGACCAATTCCCAGATGTAAGCTTAGTTACTGTGCTCAGTTCCTACCTTTGGCCTGAGAACTAGGGAACAGGAATCAAGCACACTGTGAAAGTAAAGGAGAATGGATTAAATATGTGAAAGAAACATTGTAATCAATACAGCTCTAAGGTGTGGGTGCAGAATTTGTTTTATATTGGCTTAGTTTTAAGTTGTTCCAGGGCATACTTCTGTTATTTTTTCTTGTATATATCCTTTTACACCTAAAATTGAACCCTGTATGTAGTTACTGTTTGTTGAATATCACACCTATATAAAATTGCAGAAGTGTTTCCTTTTTCTGTTTACATTTGTGTTTTCTGTAGAAAATTGGAATAATTTTACCAACTTGTATCATTAGAAAATGAAAATATTTACAAAATTTATTTAATCTTCTTAAATAGAGATACCTTTTGGCCAAATGGCATTTTAGCAGAGACTGTTCCATGCAGAGATAAAGCTATTCGAATGAGAACAAGAGTTGCAGGAAAAACTAAGTTACTTTCAATTATGCCAGGTAAGTGAACATTTTTAGAATAAATCTTATTAATTTGTACTTCTTCTGAATTTAAGGCATTGATCATGCTAAGTATAGCTGCCTTTTGACTATAATAACTATCATTTGATGGCTTATCATATACTAGGCACTGTGCTAGGCATTTCTCATATATCTTTAACTAACCCTCATAACAACCTTATGAAGCCTAGGTACTGTTAACATCACAGTTTTATATGTGAGGAAACAGAAGCTCAAAGGGGTTAAGTGAGTCACCCAAGGTTTATAGCTAGTAAGTGAGTGTTGGGACTCTGACTCAGTTCTGAGTTCCCTGAAAGCCACTGCTTTCAACCACTTGAATAAAAAGTGTTGCTTTTAACCACTTCACTTTGCTGCCTTGAAACATTTTGAGAATGAAGTTGATGATAAATTCTGTGACAGATGAAAGGGCTGATAAAAGTATATGAAGTATGAGGTTTTCAGGAAGAATATTTGTTCTACTTAAGAGAACAAACACATTTTTTCAAAGAATCCCTTTGAAACAACTGATTGGCCCATTCTTAATCTTTACTAAAACGTGATCCTAAAGAAAGTATACATAGTGGCATTCTGTTGGTCTAATTTGAGTTACTTTAGAACACTGCTGTCTCACTAATTTAGATTCACTTTGTCCGTTTTGTCTTCTCTCAATAAGAGCAGTTTTGTGTAGTTGGGTGGTTGTTTGATCTCTTCTTTGGTTATAAATATCTTTGAAAATACCTAGATATCTCTTCACATTTTAATTGTGGATGTAGAGAATAGAAAAATATTTAAGTTCTCAATATTTATTTCTTTTCATATAATTTTATTTTTAATTTAAACTATATTTTCATTATAGATTTTAATCAACTTTGTCTTCTGACAGGTTGGAAATTTGCCACATAGCTATTTATTCTGCTCTATAGACTATACTGTTGCATTTGGAGATAAAAAGCAAGTGACAGAAATAACATTTTAGAAAAATAAAAAGAAACAATAACCTAGGATATTAATATACTGTTAGAATAAACCAGATGGTGCTGTAGACTGACTCAGTTATGTGGCTGGAAGAAATCTTAATGCATTTATACAGTAAATATTTATTGAGAGCCTTTCATGAGCCAGACACTATTCTTTACACTTATCGTTGCCTTCTTGGAGTTTACATTCTACTAGGGAGACACAGAAAACAGATGAAAGAAATAGATAAAGCACAGTATGTTGGATAGTGGTAAGTACTGAGGAGACAGTGCAGGAAAAGGAAGGTGTCAGTTGAGTTGCAGTTGCAGATAGGATAGCCATTGGGGGCCTCCCTGAGATGATGACACTTATGTGAAGACTTGAAAGAAGTGAGGATAGATGTAAAAGTATATATTTTTATATATACATAATCCCTCACCTGTTTTTTAGTAAATTTAAAAACTATTTGCTTTAAATGATATTGTACCCTAGTTAGAAATATACATTTTGGAAGTTGCATGTTTCTTTCAAGAGCAATAAAGTATTGTTTTTGAGGCCCCTGCTATAGGGTCCTGACTATGAATAAGAAGAATAATAGGAGATTGGTTCAAGATGGCAGAGTAGAAGGACATGCTCTCACTCCCTCTTGCGAGAGCATCACAGTCACAACTAACTGCTGAACAGTCATCAACAGGAAGACACTGGAACTCACCAAAAAAGATAACCCCACATTCACAAAGGAGAAGCCACAATGAGACAGTAGGAGGGGCGCAATCACAATAAAATCAAATCCCATAACTGCTGGGTGGGTGATTCACATACTGGAGGACACTTATACCACAGAAGTCCACGCATTGCAGTGAAGGTTCTGAGCCCCGTATCTGGCTTCCCAACCTGGGGGTCCGGCAACAGGAGGAATTCCTAGAGAATCAGACTTTGAAGACTGGCGAGATTTGATTTTAGGACCTCGACAGGACTGGGGGAAACAGAGTCTCCACACACAAAGTAGTGTGCGCATCAGGACCCAGGGGAAGGAGCAGTGACCCCGTAGGAGACTGAACCAGACCTACTTGCTAGTGTTGGAGGGTCTCCTGCAGAGGTGGGGGGTGGCTGTGGCTCACCCTGAGGACAAGGACACTGGAAGCAGAAGTTTTGGGAAGTACTCCTTGGCGTGAGCCCTTCCAGAGTCCGCCATTATTCCCACCAAAGAGCCCAGGTAGGCTCCAGTGTAGGGTCGCCTTAGGCCAAACAACCAACAAGGAGGGAACCCAGCCCCACCCATCAGCAGACAAGCAGATTAAAGTCTTACTGAGCTCTGCCCACCAGAGGAAAAGCCAGCTCTTTTGCTCTGGTGGGCAAATCCCTCCCAACAGGAACTTGTACAAGCCTCTTAGCCTCATCCACCAGAGGGCAGGCAGCAGAAGCAAGAACTACAATCCTGCAGCCTGTGGAACAAAAACCATACTCACAGAAAGACAGACAAGATGAAAAGGCAGAGGGCTATGTACCAGATGAAGGAACAAGATAAAACCCCAGAAAAACAACTAAATGAAGTGGAGATAGGCAACCTTCCAGAAAAAGAATTCAGAATAATGATAGTGAAGATGATCCAGGACCTCGGAAAAAGAATGGAGGCCAAGATCGAGAAGATGCAAGAAATGTTTCACAAAGACCTAGACGAATTAAAGAACAAACAAACAGAGATGAACAATACAATAACTGAAATGAAAAATACACTGGAAGGAATCAACAGCAGAATAACTGAGTCAGAAGAACGGATAAGTGACCTGGAAGACAGAATGGTGGAATTCGCTGCTGCAGAACAGAGTAAAGAAAAAAGAATGAAAAAAATTGAAGACAGCCTATGAGACCTCTGGGACAACATTAAACGCAACAACATTCACATTACAGGGGTCCCAGAAGGAGAAGAGAAAGAGAAAGGACCAGAGAAAATATTTGAAGAGATTATAGTCAAAAACTTCCCTAACATGGGAAAGGAAAAGCCACCGAAGTCCAGGAAGCTCAGAGAGCAAAAATTAAAGACAAAGAAAAATTATTGAAAGCAGCAAGGGAAAAACGACAAATGACATACAAGGGAACTCCCATAACGTTAACAGCTGATTTCTCAGCAGAAACTCTACAAGTCAGAAGGGAGTGGCATGACATATTTAAAGTGATGAAACGGAAGAACACACAACCAAGATTACTCTACCCGGCAAGGATCTCATTCAGTTTCGATGGAGAAATCAAAATCTTTACAGACAAGCAAAAGCTAAGAGAATTCAGCACCACCAAACCAGCTCTACAACAAATGCTAAAGGAACTTCTCTAAGTGGGAAACACAAGTGAAGAAAAGAACCTATAAAAACAGACCCAAACAATTAAGAAAATGGTAATAGGAACATACGTATCGATAACTACCTTAAATGTGTATGGATTAAATGCTCCAACCAAAAGACACAGGCTCACTGAATGGATACAGAAATAAGACCCATATATGTGCTGTTTACAAGAGACCCACTTCAGACCTAGGGACACATCCAGACTGAAAGTGAGGGGATAGAAAAAGATATTCCATGCAAATGGAAATCAAAAGAAAGCTGGAGTAGCAATACTCATATCAGATAAAATAGACTGTAAAGAATGTTCCAAGAGACAAGGAAGGACACTACATAATGATCGAGGGATCAATCCAAGAAGAAGATATAACAATTATAAATATATATGCACCCAACATAGGAGCACTGCAATGTATAAGGCAACTGCCAACAGCTATAAAAGAGGAAATTGACAATAACACAATAATAGTGGGGGACTTTAACACCTCACTTACACCAATGGAGAGATCATCCAAACAGAAAATTAATAAGGAAACACAAGTTTTAAGTTACACAACAGACCAGATAGATTTAATTGATATTTATAGGACATTTCATCCAAAAACAGCAGATTACACTTTCTTCTCAAGTGTGCATGGAACATTCTCCAGGATCACATCTTGGGTCACAAATCAAGCCTCAGTAAATTTAAGAAAATTGAAATCATATCAAGCATCTTTTCTGATCACAATGCTATGAGATTAGATATCAGTTACAGGGAAAAAAAACGTAAAAAACACAAACATGGAGGCTAAACAATACATTACTAAATAACCAAGAGGTCACAGAGGAAATAAAAAAATACCTAGAAACAAATGACAGTGAAAACAGTACGATCCAAAACCTGTGGGATGCAGCAAAAGCAGTTCTAAGAGGGAAGCCTATAGCAATACAATCCTACCTCAAGAGACAACAAACATCTCAAATAAACAATCTAACCTTACAGCTAAAAGAACTAGAGAAAGAAGAACAAACAAAACACAAAGTTAGTAGAAGGAAAGAAATCATAAAGATCAGAGCAGAAGTAAATGAAATAGAAACAAAGGAAACAATAGCAAAGATCAATAAAACTAAAAGGTGGTTCTTTGAGAAGATAAACAAATTGATAAACCACTAGCCAGACTCATCAAGAAAAAAGGGAGAAGACTCATATTAAAATTAGAAATAAAAAAGGAGAAGTTACCACAGACACCATAGAAATACAGAGCATCCTAAGAGACTACTACAAGCAACTCTGTGCCAATAAAATGGACAACCTGGAAGAAATGGACAAATTCTTAGGAAGGTATAACCTTCCAAGACTGAACCAGGAAGAAATAGAAAACATGAACAGACCAATCACAAGTAATGAAATTTAAACTGTGATTAAAAATCTTCCAACTAACAAAAGTCCAGGACCAGATGGCTTCACAGTTGAATTCTCTCAGACATTCAGAGAAGAGTTAACACCCATCCTTCTCAAACTCTTCCAAAATATTGCAGAGGAAGGAACACTCACAAACTCATTCTACAAGGCCACCATCACCCTGATACCAAAACCAGACAAAGATACTACAAAAAAAGAAAATTACAAACCAATATCACTGATGAGTAAAGATGCAGAAATCCTCAACAAAATACTAGCAAGCAGAATCCAACAACACATTAAAAGGATCATACAGCATGATCAAGTGGGGTTTATTCCAGGAATGCAAGGATTCTTCAGTATACGCAAATCAATCAATATGATACACCATATTAACAAATTGAAGAAGAAATACCATATGATCATCTCTAGATGTAGAAAAAGCTTTTGACAAAATTCAACATCCATTTATGATAAAAACTCCCCAGAAAGTGGGCACAGAGGGAACCTACCTCAACATAATAAAGGCCATATACAACAAACCCACAGCAGACATAATTCTCGTGATAATCATGAGAATCTGAAAGCATTTCCTCTAAGATCGGAGCAAGACAAGGATGTCCACTGTCACCACTATTATTCAACATAGTTTTGGAAGTCCTAGCCACAGCAGTCAGAGAAGAAAAATAAATAAAAGGAATCCAAATCAGAAAAGAAGAAGTAAAGCTGTCACTGTTTGCAGTTGACATGATACTACACATAGAGAATCCTAATGATGCCACCAGAAAACTACTAGAGCTAATCAACGAATTTGGTAAAGTTGCAGGATATGAAATTAATGCACAGAAATCTCTGGCATTCCTATACACTAATGATGAAAAACCTGAAAGAGAAATTAAGGAAACACTCCCATTTACCATTGCAGCAAAAAGAATAAAATACCTCGGAATAAACCTAGCTAAGGAGACAAAAGACCTGTATGCAGAAAACTATGAGACACTGATGAAAGAAATGAAAGACAATACAAACAAATGGAGAGATATACAATGCCATTGGACTGGAAGAATCAATATTGTGAAAATGACTATACTACCCAAAGCAATGTACAGATTCAGTGCAATCTCTATCAAATTACCAATGGCATTTTTTACAGAACTAGAACAAAAAATCTTAAAATTTGTATGGGGACACAAAAGACCCCGAATAGCCAAAGCAATCTTGAGAATGAAAAACAGAGCTGGAGGAATCAGGCTCCTGGACTTCAGTCTATACTACAAAGCTACAGTAATCAAGAAAATATGGTACTGGCACAAAGACAGAAATATAGATCAGTGGAACAGGATAGAAATCCCAGAGGTAAACTCATTCACCTATGGTCAACTAATCTATGACAAAGGAGGCAAAGATATGCAATGGAGAAACGACAGTCTCTTCCATAAGTGGTGCTGAGAGAACTGGACAGCTACACATAAAAAATGAAATTAGAACACTCCCTAACACCATACATAAAAATAAACTCAAAATGGATTAGAGACCTAAATGTAAGACCAGACACTATAAAACTCTTAGAGGAAAACATAGGAAGAACACTCTTTGACATAAATCACAGCAGGATCTTTTTTGATCTACCTCCTAGAGTAATGGAAATAAAAACAAACAAATGGGACCTAATGAAACTTCAAAGCTTTTGCACAGCAAAGGGAAACATAAACAAAACAAAAAGGCAACCCTCAGAATGGGAGAAAATATTTGCAAAGAAATCAATGGACAAAGGATTAATCTCCAAAATATATGAACAGCTCATGCAGCGCAATATTAAAATAACAAACCACACAATCCAAAAATGGGCAGAAGACCTAAATAGACATTTCTCCAAAGAAGATATACAGATGCCAAGAAGCACATGAAAAGCTGCTCAACATCACTAATTAATAGAGAAATGCAAATCAAAACTACAATGAGGTATCACCTCACACCAGTTAGAATGGGCATCATCAGAAAATCTACAAACAACAAATGCTGGAGAGGGTGCGGAGAAAAGGGAACCCTCTTGCACTCTTGGTGGGAATGTAAGTTGATACAGCCACTGTGGAGAACAGTATGGAGACTCCTTAAAAAACTAAAAATAGAATTACCATTTGACCCAGCAATCCCACTACTGTGCATATACCCAGAGAAAACCATAATTCAAAAAGACACATGCACCCCAGTGTTCATTGTAGCCCTATTTACAATAGCCAGGTCATGGAACCAACCTAAATGCCCGTCGACAGATGGATGGACAAAGAAGAGGTGGTACATATATACAATGGAATATTACTCAGCCATAAAAAGAAATGAAATTGGGTTATTTGTAGAGACGTGGATGGATCTAGAGACTCTCATACAGAGTGAAGTAAGTCAGAATGAGTAAAGCAAATATCGTATATTAACGCATATGTGTGGAACCTAGAAAAATGGTACAGATGAACTGGTTTGCAGGGCAGAAATAGAGACACAGATGCAGAGAACGAATGTATGGACACCAAGGGGGGAAAGGAGCGGGGGGTGGTGGTGGTGGTGTGATGAATTGGGCTATTGGGATTGACATGTACACAGTGATGTGTATAAAATGTATAACTAATAAGAACCTGCTGTATAAAAAAATAAAATTCAAGAATAAAAGAGAAAAAAAAGAATAATACATGGTGCTCCCATATTTACGTGTCTCTAGTAACTTCATGTTGCCCGTAAGTAAACTCCAAACTTGCTTACCCTGACAGTCACAGCACTGTCAGTTTTCCATTTTTTTCACCACTTTCTCTTACAGGAATCCTAAAATTCAACCAAACTTTACTACCCCATTTCTTGAGCCTGTCTTGTTTTTGTTTCCACTTTGTGCTCATTTGCTCATTCCTGTTCTTAAATCCTTCATCTGTTTGCACCTATGAAAATGCTGCCCAGGTAGCAAAATCTACTTCAGTTGTCACTTCCTTGAAGGGAACCTTTCCTTATTATCTCATGTTGCATTCCCTCCTTGTAAGTGTCTTTATGCTTTTAGTATTTTAATGGTACTGTTTCTGTGTTGCAAGTTTTTTGAAATCATAGATCAACTTTCACACATTTTCTTATAGTATTTCTGACTGCATTAAATGTAGTAGAAGTATGTGTTTAGTGTTTTAGAGTTTACAGATCACTTTTCACATCTCATCAAGGCTTTATAAATTCTTACAGTTGTAATAATATTGGTTATTATAAATTCCCATTTGACAGATGAGGATGCAAACTCAGGGTGGGTAATTTATCATATAGGTATTAAGGGACAAGATTACAACTCTAATTTGGGGTTTCCTACTTTCTCCTGTGCTGTATTTGTCTCACAGTATCTATTGTGTAAGTGCATGCATGCTTGCAAACGTATATAAGTTTTAAGTCAGTTATTAAACTTATATTAAGGTCATTAACTGAATACTTGCTACTTATCAGTTACTCTGCTTTGTACTTTACATACTTAGCATAGTTTAGGCCTTGGATTTCCTTTGAATAATGAATTGTGTTTATTTCCCCTCTCCCCCACTTCATTTAGATGAACTGAAGCACATTATTGGGGCTGAGACGACACGGAAAGGTATTCTTCGTGTTTTTGAAATGTTTCAGCACAACCAGTTAAATAGGAGGATGGTTTATGTCTTTTTGGAAGGCTTTTTGGAAAGCTTATTTCCACAGTATAAATTCCGTGACCTTTTCAACAGACTGCATTCACGGTCAAAGCAGATGCAGAAATATAAACAGAAACTTCAGACTACTCAAGCACCTTCTTTACAGAAAAGGTGACACTCCAATCTATGAAGCTGGTGTTCGTTTTGTCCAGGACTGATGGTATGGACGGATCTTCTGGGGCTTAACTCATATACTGTTGTGTCTGCACCAGTCTTTTAGTGTCTCAAAATAGATTATTAATACATCCATAAGACTGTGGTTCTTCTCATCCTTGTCTATAATCCAGCCACTACCAAGAGAGATTTCTGTGTCTTAAGTGATTTGGTGCATATTTTTGCAACACTGAGAGGATACTGCCCCCATCTCAAGCAAGAATGACGTTGGTCTCTTCCGTTTCAAACTAATCAGCATTCTCCAGCAATGACAAAGTGCCAGAGTGTATATATGAGAGCTAAGGAAAGCACAAAACAAGAGTTCACAGATAAACTGGCTGATTTGTTTAACAGTGGGAAACTGTGCAATGTACTGTTTGGAGGGATTTGTTTTGCATAATGATTTTATAGGTCTTTTTGAGAATTTTGATATAGTGTAGATAGCCAGGTGAGTGATCTTTGGAACATCTGTTTCAGGTCTAGGGAAAGTGACAGAATGCCCTTAAAATATGAAGTAACATATCCACATTACAGTTTTGTGACATAAAGTAAAAACCTAGTATAAAATAAAACCAGTCAAAACAGAAATTGCATTGGATTTTTTATTCATTGGTAGAAAACAGATTTTAATTGATTTTTATGTGTCTTAAGGGCTCTATTTCGCTCTTAACAGTACTCAGTCATAAGCTTTATTTTGGCATTCTGTGTGTAAAAAGAAGTTATGATGGCTCTTAGTTAAGTTACAAAATTATTACAGTTTTCTTTAAGAGATTACTGATTATATAATAGGGGCTATAATTTGTTGAAAGAACTGCCAAATACGTCTAAAAATGTGGAAATTTAAAAAACAGTACTCTATTGAAAGTTACTATATGATGGTTTTAAACTGTGATCTAGACATACGTTAGGTGATTGCAAAAATAGCAAATCAAAGGATTAAATGAGTTTATTAGTCGTATGTAAACATACAAATTCTTAACTCTATTATAGTGTACATATATGAAAATAAATAAAACAGAACTATAATATTTTTTAAAATAGGCTTTATTTATATTTTGCATAATGTAAAATTCTACTAAATAAAGCAAGTTGGCAAAACCCCTCGGTGTATACATTTAAGTCCCTAAAATAATTTTATACCAACAACAACGAAATACCTTTTCCAGTTTTGGAGCCTCTGCATTTCCTATAGTTTTCTCATTCTCCATTTGTCAGTCTTGGAAGTCTTCATATGTTTTGTATGCAGGATTTCTGCATAGTTTTAAATACTTCCACTGACTAAGGGTTTGGGTTTTTTGTTTTAAAAATATTTAACACTAAAACCTTAAAATAGTGAAGCTATTTATCAGACCACTGAGCCAAGATGCTGGTATTAAAAGAACGTCCAGGTGCTTAAGATAAAGGGACAGAGTATTGGTATCCCAGTTGCTTGGGAGCTTTAAGATTGGAACAAGATGTTATTGTCTTCTTGTCACTGAGATCCTACTTACAAAGTGAAGCCGAATAGAATAAAGCCTTCCTTTAAAGCTTTATAATAATAATCATATTTATTAATAATGCTGTTGTGCATACTTATAGTATGCATATTTTCAGCCTGTGTTGCATGTCTTCAGAATTATGTAAATGAAATCCCTTTCATTTAAACTTCCAAATGAGAAAAGATCCTTATTGACTCTGGTGGAAGATACAATATTTCTTCTTCTCAATGTGTCTTCCTGCCCTGGTCTCTCCTCATGCCCCAGGCTTTGGAAGAAAAGATATGTGAAACATGTCTGTAGGAAGCATCAGCATGGCCGTAAGTGCAATGATTTTCAGATATACCCCTGCCCATTTCAAGTATATTTTTGACATAAATAAATCTAAGAGTAAGAGCCTAGCGTGTACATGTGAAAAAGCATTTCTAGATAATGTGAGGAACGCTGGCCATCAACCAGGGAAAGAAAGGTCATGCAGGATTGTGAATTTTCATGGAGCCCTGCAAGAGAACTGCAGTCATACCAAAAACTATTTGAGTAAATGGGTTTTTAAAATAATTTTTGTTTAAAAGAGTTTATATTTCAAAAGCAGAAATGTCAAATGGTAGTCTGTGTAAATGGTTATGCATCTTTTCCTTGCACATCTGTGTTTTACATCAGAGAGAGCCGTGGTCATGCTAAAATTAGAGATACTTTTTGAATGACTTGGTCGAGCTGTGTGTAAAATATTTAACCCATAAGTCAAGTACAGTGTACTATGTTTAATAAAGTTATTACATTTAATGCATTTACTGCATATATGAATATATACATGAAGAGGCTTTATGTCTTCTGGTATTTGATTTTTGAATGTGTTTTTAAGTCAGTGGTGCCTTTAGGCAAGAATCTTCTAAATTAATCATTCTTTGTTTGGGTTTTCTGACTTTTCAGGTAACATAAACTTTAGAAACCATCACTACTAACTTATAGTTAATTCACCTAAAAAATTGATTGTATGATTTATATATAAGGGTTAGATGGGCATTTCCTATGATTAGGGTTTTCTGATAGTTGCTGAAAACAATTGTGCCATTGACTAATGGATGCACTTGGTTAGCCTTAATTTCTTTCTTTTTTTTTTTTAATTTAAAACCTTGAATATTTCAGTTCCTTCATTTTAAGTTTGTGCTTTGGTGTTTGGAAAAAAATCACACAGTTAAGTGCTACCAGGAAAGTGTACCAATTTTTTTAAAATTAAGAACAATATAAAATTTCACAATCTAAAATTTTAATTTGTGCAATATTTTCATTTAATGCATGTGTATTTGAGTAATTGTAAAATAAATGAATTTTTAATGTTTTGAGATCTAGTTTAAGCTGTCTTCTTAACCCAACAACTTACATTCCATTGTTGCTGCATCCTTTTATTTAAGGACTTGTTTTAAAAGTCTTTTTGTCACTCCTTGTAAAATTCTTTTGTTAGTAAATTTTGCTTATAGGAGCATGGCTCCTGTATTACAAGGGAAAAATATAAAGAGCACATTTTAGGATTATAAGTGTTAAAAGATAACTTGTGCATATCATTCATTGTACAGTAAGTGTCAACTGTGTGCCTAACTATTCTATCAATACTTCTTTAACAAAGAAGAAACAACAATCAGAATGTCAGTTATTTTTATTGAGCTAAAAAGAAGATTAAAACTTTTATTTGGTTTGCGTTATGTTTTGTCCATTAGAAAATACTAATAAAGTATTAACAAACCTTTTTGTTGAATTTTATTTAGTAGTGATGTATTTTTATTACTTGAAAAAATGCTTGCTCACTTGTCTTTATTATCTGTGTGTATTTTGCTTTCATTTTAGAAATCAAGCAATTCAAGTTCCAGGTTGATAGATGAACTATTGAATGATTACTGACTTACAGCTAACTGAATTTAATTTTTCCTTTTATGGGGCAGCTAATTTACTACCACTTGTTAAAAAAACTTCATACTTCCCTACATGCAAAATTATAACTTTCTCATAGAGAGGAAGATCTATAAGTAATCCATTAACAATTTTTGTTTGATCTCATTTTAAATTCATAGCCTGCCTGTTATTTTAGAGGTTTCGTTTCTAAAGGCAATAGATTCAATACTCAGAAATGTAGCTCTGCCTAGTTGGCGATAGTCCTTGCAGGCTTCTTGGATGTATATCCACAGTCTTCTCAGACATCAGTGTGATTACTCCTACCCTACCACGGGCAGGCATAGTGTTTCTCAAAATGCATACTGTAAAATAGTGGTCCCTTTAAGATGTTCCTGAAGGAATAATTTTGTACTTTTATGTAACTTATGTAAATCTACATACTATTCAAAACCCTAAAATGTTCCTTCACAATTCAAATGATTGTATCAAAGGTTCTGAAAAGTTATATAATGAATAACCCTGTTTAACTTTGTTTTCCTGACTTCCCAAACTTAGTTAACTACAGAATCTTTTGTCATAAATACCTATTAATAGCTTGAGGATAGTGTTCCCAAGGAACGTGGTTAAAAAAAAAAATCTTAGTAGGGGAGAAAAAAAGGTGAGGCATCTTTAGTTAAACTATATAGAAAAACCCATGAATTTGGGGGATGGTGTTTTGGCGTTTCTTTTTTCCTGTTTTTTTAGCTTGTCATTCGTATACAAAGTTCAGTGTTTGAAAGAAAAAGGACAGTTAGAAAAATTAGCAGGAGATATTGGAGTTGAATTTGGCCCTGGATACCAGAATAATGAACTCAGTGAGGGATAATAGAGTATGTCTCCTGAGAAGTAGGAAAAATACTTGCTACTGCTTAAAGATCCTTATCTTGCTGATGTGATCAAAAGAGTAGTAACTAGGAAATGCAAAGAGGAGAGAGAAATGTAATATAGGTCAGATTTTAAAATATGTGCCAGACATTAATCCATATATAATGGGGAGATGCTATGTTTGATCTATAGGAACAATGGCAGCAGCTAAGAACCTAGTACTTCACAAGAAAAACAATTAATAGAGTGGAAATTATACTTAGTGTCTGTTTCCCAGTGCACAGTGTATGAGAATTGTATGAAATGTGACATTTTAAGTTGGCAAACATGAACTTTTACATATAATTGAGTGGAATAAAACAACAGGTCTAATTATTGGAAAACTGCAAGACCACCCTCCTGGTGATTCGCCAGGAGGCCTCTCAGGATTCGACCTTTAGTCGTACAGCAAAGATTTCTTACAGCAAAAGGATATAGAACAAAATGAAAGGGAAAGGGTGCATGGGGTGAAGTTTGAGGGAAACCGGGCACGAGCTTCCGAAGTTCCTCTCCCAATGTAGTCTTGCAGGATACACTTAATTCCCCCCAGCAATGAGTTGTGACAGCACATGTGAAACATGGCCAATCAAGGAAGCTAATTCAAGACTGCCTACAGTTTTGTTTTTTTCTGCGGTACGCGGGCCGCTCACTGTTGCGGCCTGTCCCGTTGCGGAGCACAGGCTCCGGATGCGCAGTCTCAGCGGCCATGGCTCACGGGCTCAGCCGCTCCGCGGCATGTGGGATCTTCCCAGACCAGGGCATGAACCCGTGTCCCCTGCATCGGCAGGCGGACTCTCAACCAGTGCGCCACCAGGGAAGCCCTGCCTACAGTTTTTATTGGGGGCAGGTCATGTAGGTACCCTCTGCTTGACACCAAAATTCTGGACTCCTGGAAGGAAAGCACGAGTTCCACATAAACCATATATTTTGTACAAACGGTTTACGCATACTGAGCCACTTCTATCAGTTTTGGGAATGGTAGGAGTACTCCCAAAATCTAAGTTCTCAGATAGCTGAGAACAAAGGCCAACCCTATAAGCAGGCCTTTCAAAGGACAGCAGTCATACCTGCTATGTTAACTCTTTTCTACACAACTAAACCCCTTGATTCAAAGAAATGGCTAACAGAAAGCGATGAGTTGCACTGAAGATCTTTAAGATTTATCCTTGTGTAGAAGCCTCCACACCTGGAAGTGGAAACATGACAGAATTCAGATGCAGATGAAAGGGGAAAAGATAGTGATAATGTTATGAATGTATGTTGCAATCCAAGAAGCTGGAGGAACATATTTGTGTATTTCCAATAAAGATTCCCATAGCAACAGTTATACAGCACTTACTAATCACAACTTTTTGAGGTGTAGATACTATTACCTTCTTCAGTTTATAGATGGGAAAACGCAAGCATACCAAAGTTTTAGAGCTGGTAAGTGATCAGGCTGAAATGTCAACACAGGTGATCTTACTCGAGTCTGTGCCACGGTTTCTCAACAGTGGTGTTATTTATATTTTGGGCTGCATATAATTCTTCGTTGTGGGAGCTGTACTGTGCATTAAAGATGTTCAGTAGCATTCTTGGGCTCTACCTACTACATAATGCCAGTAGCACTTCCCCCACCCCCAGCTATGACAACCAGAAATGTCTCCAGATGTTGCCAAATGATGTCTGGGGGCAAAATTGCTTCCAACTGAGAACCACTGATCTGTGCTCTCACTTACAAAGTAAAGTAGGAACTGAAGACTTAAG